CCTGCCTCTCCCTCTGCCCCAAACATGAAACTTGGTCGTCCCTCACCTGCTCCAGCCCCCCTCTGTGGTGCCCTGGCATCCTCAGGGGAATATCCAGCTCCTCATCCCTTGGTGATCTGCCCCTGGGCCCTCGCCGGCCTGCTGGCTGGCGGCTGGCGGCTGGGCTGGCTCAGCCCCTGCCACGGTCACTCTCTGTCCTCCATCCACACACAGGCACGTGCAGTTCCCTGAACACCCTGAGCTGTTTCATGCCTCCACACCTTTGCACATGTCCTTCCTTCGTCCTAGAACGTCCCCTCTCCAATCAACCCCAGACTGATCTGATGATAGTACTGAAAATGCTGCTGGAGTGTTCCCTGCTTTCCAAAGCCCTTTCTGTCTGCCCTCCCCTCCCCTGCACTGAGTTTCCAGCTCCTCCTCAGCAAAGGTGGACCTGGGCTTGTGTGTCCTGCTATCCTCAGGGGACTCAGGGGTCCCTGGACCGAATGTCCATGCCTGCCCAGGTCCTCCAGCCTCCCCACCTGGACGCACCTGAGTGCCCATTGTTTTCGACAGACCACTTTTGCTTCTTGTCATAGCCAGAGAAGGAGAAGGGTCCCAGGTTTTCGTTCAGCTGTGCCTTTGCCGTGACAATGTTGATGGGGGACTGTCGGTCCTTCTGGCACTGTTGACCCCATTGGTCCGGCCCTGGGCAGGGAGAGAAGGTGGGCTGAGCCAGGGGTGCCTGGTGCCAAGGTGTGGCCCCCTCTGCGCCACAGAGGTCAGGCACAAGCACCGAGCTCACATGTGGCAAGGTCTTGGGATGGCTGGCAGGCTGTGTCGCAGGGGCCTTCCTGCTCAGATATGCACACAGTTGCACACACACACACACACACACACACACACAGACACGCTCACACTCACACGCAAAGACAGCAGGTCTGCGAGCCCTGGGGGAGGGGACAACTTCATGATGCAATCCCTGGAGGAGCCTACTTCCCAAAACCTGGTGACTCGTGGGCAGCCCTGTCCAGCCACCAGACAGCACTGGCAGGAAGAAAGCAGGCTTCAGGGAAATCAGTGAGCATTTGAATAGAAAGTGCAAGTCTCCATTTTGTTATGTGAAAGAGCAAAATGTACCTCTATTTGGTGCTGATGATATCATAGAGGACTTTCCTTCTTGGTGACAGTGATGGTCACTCAGGTCACTACACTCCGTCCCCTCAGCTCCAGGAGTGTGGATGTGCATGTGTGCGTGTGTGTGTGTTAAGAGCAGATATGTGACTAGGGGGCACCATTATCCATCATCCTTCCCACTGTCCTTGTGTCTCCATTTCAACCTGGACGGCCCCACCATGTGACAAGGCCTTTCTCTAAAACTCACTGGACTTACCCATGCAGTCTCTGTTGAACCTGGCTTGAATTTCGTAGCACCAGTGTGACTCTGGAGCAGAGAGAGAAAGGATGTGAGGTCTGTGCCTACGTATGTCCCTGTATCTGTGCACACACATCTCTATGCGCACACATGCACTGTGTGCACACAACCCACACTGTGACTGTGTGTGTGTGTGTGTGTACACAGCAAGTCAGAGGCTGGGAATGTCCCTGAGGCAGAGACTCCCTTGCGTTGGGGTGGAGTGCACTTGGGGTCTGGGAGAGGAGACTTAAGAAGAAAGTGGGGATGGGGATGGGGGAGGGAGGCAGGACAAGCAGTTGTGACTAATCTGCTGGTCATCCCACCTGTGGCACCATTCCTGGGGCAGGCAGGGCAAACTGTCACCAGCCTCTGAGGGGGCTCCTCTGAGGCCACCCCAGGGTCTGGCCTTCACACTCCCCATTTGTTGCTCATCAGCCTCCCCCTCCCTCCTCCAACCCAACCCTGGAAGAGAGACTCCAGTGAGGGAGGAAGGGGGAGGGGGGAGGAGGGGATTAAGGCCTGACCTCCGCTCCTGGGACAGCAGAGCTGGGTTCAACCTGGCTGCCTTCCCGGAGCTGATCAGGGGGGGTGATAGAGGAGATTAGGCTGGCCCTTCCCTCTTGTGTTCATTCGTGGCTAAACTTTCACAGCTGCACAGCAAGGAAGACCCCCACCCTCCCAGTCCTGGTGTTTGGGACCAGACAGACTCAGCTTCTAATCCTGGCTCTGCCTCAGGGTAGTAGAACCAGCATCTCTGAAAAAGGCTGCACCACACGAATGCAGGATGTTAATAGTAGGGAAGACTGTGCAGGGACAGAGGGGCACATGAGCCCTCTGCTTTCTGCCCAGTTTTCCTGTAAACCTAAACCTGTTCTGATTAAAGTCTATCGATTTTTTTTTTTAAAAGGCTGGATCAGCAGGGTGGACAAAGCATTTGATCTGGAGCTGGAATTCTGGCTGAGGAGCTATGGATTTAGGAGCAAGTCACTTAATCTCTCTAAGCCTCAGTTTTATCATCTGTGAAATGGAACTAATACCGCCCACCTCACTGGGCTATGGGGAGAATTAAATGTGGTAATAGCAGTGTCCCAGGGAGCCTGGAACTTAGTCAAGTCCTGATGAGCCCTTCCCTTCCCTTTATCACCCTCCCTCTGGCCTCCTATCAGCACACAGATGGCAAAAGCCAAGCTGGAAAGAATTCAGGGGTGAGGAAATTTCTAAGAAAAGCATAGCTTCCCACTCAGACTGAGCTCAGTCCTCTGAGCATATGTGCCTTCCCCTCGCCTTCTTGCCTGGGCTGCCCCCATCCAAACCCGCTGCCTCTGGGGTCCCTGGATTGGGGACAGGGTGGGGAGGGAGCCATTTGAAGGTCAGGATCTCAGTAGGGGGTGTAAGGAAGGAGTTGAGGCCAGGAGTGAGCACCCACAGAAAATTGGGTACCCTCTTGCTCTGGGTTCCCTCAGAGCCACTTTGGGTGTGTGAGTTTCCCAGATCTGGATCAAATATGTCACCTACCCTGCTCACACAGCCTCTTTCGGAGATGGACAATCCCTGAGGGTCTTCCCCATGATAGTCCACTGCCCTGGACAGGGCCCTGCCGCCCCTAGGAGTTGCTGCATCTGGGAACCTGGAATATGGGTCAACTCTGCAGGGAGAGCGGCAACTCTCCAGAGAGCGCCCGCTCCCCTGGCTTCCTCTGCCTCTCACTTAGCGTCTGCAGGCAGGTTCGCTGACCTTCCTGAGCCCCACATCCTTTCTCAGGCAGAGGAGCTGGTGGCGTCTGAGAAGACAGCGGGTGGGAGCCCACCTGCAATTCATTATACTCCTCCTGTGTCTGCACCTCTCAGAGGTCCTGAAGGCAGGAGGGGCCTCCAAGGCCAAGCTGGACTGGAGGCCCCAGGGAAAGCCCCCCCAGGGGAAGCCTTACTTAAACCAGAGTCCTGGGAAGCCAGCGGCAAAGGGTGGAATTCCCACTGAGCATCCCCACCCTATTTGGGTCAGGCCCAGCTTTTCCTAGGAATTTGCTCTTTCCTGTCAGCTACGGCTTTTGCGTTTGTGATGGTAACCTCTGATCCACTGTCTTAATCACAGAGACTTTTGACCTGCTTGGATGAATGCTCTTGTAACTACCTCTTCAGGAGGCAGGAGCCAGGAAAACACAATGTTGATGAGGCCAAGGCCAGGGGTCAGGTCTGTGTGTGGGCTGAGGGTAGGGAGCTGGCTTTTAGGCAAGAGATGGCAGGTGACACACCAGCTCAGGTTGCTGCATTCATTCACGAGAGGGCTGCTCTTGCAAATGGTTACCAGCCCTCTGTCTCAGGCTACCTCTAAGAGGGCCTGGGGAGGAGAGAGGCTACCCACACATAGGTCTTGGCTCCAAGCTCCAGGTTCCACCTAGTCTACCTGCCCTAACCAGAAGTGGAGCAAGAGACCTAACAACCATTGCCAATCACCCAGCCACCGTTCCCCACTCTTGACTTTCCACCCCTCCTTCTTTTGAGATGGCTGAAGAATCTCCCTCTGATGGACCTTGGTCAACCCACCCTCCCACTCTGGGGGGAGGAAGGAATCCTGGAAACCAGCTCAGCGAAACCCAAATATGTTCTGGGCAAAGTCTCAGCAAGTTCTGGCCAGGAGTCTGAGATTCTGAAGGGGCCCAGTATCCTTTCCCCTCCTCTTATGGCAGCAGATGCTCTGGGGACTTCAATGTGCAGCCCAGTAGTTCTCCAGCCTCAGGTTCCCTAGGGGATGAAATGGGTGCAGGTAGACAGGGCCCAGGACTTATAAGGAGCAGTTTGTGTGAGGAGGCAGCTGAGATAAATTCCTGGTTGGCTGGCCCCAGGCCAGTGGTAGAGCCACAAAGCCATCTCACATGGAGCTCCCGCCACGTGTCACATAGCACCACACAAAGCACACCCCCTACCTTATGTGAATCCTAAACCCACCTGAAGTTAATTACTATCCCTCTTTTGTAAATGAGAAAACAGAGTGACTTACCTAAGGCCACACACTTACAAAGCATCCAAATTAACTGCAAAACCTTTCTCTTTCTACTAAGCCCAGCTGCTTAAGTAGGTTTCAAAAGTCCAACTCTATAAATAAAAATTTTCACATCCTACTATGGGGGGGAGGAAGGGCCTTTCCTCTACCCTTCTAGGATCTCTCGGCTGTCTAATAAATAGACATGAGACAGATTAACAAGAGAACATGCCCCCCCCCCCAAAAAAAAGAGAATATGCCCAAATTTAATTACATACGTATGTGTGGGAACCCCACATACATAAGTCAGAGAGGGAAATGGAAAATGGGGGATCTATGGCTTTCTGAGCTAAGGGTGAGGTAAGGCACTGGGGCTTCAGAGGGGAGAAAGGTGATCATGAAACAGTAAGAAGAGCAGATACTCAGTAATTAGAAGTCTGCCCTGCCTTATAGATAGGTCATCAAAAGTTAATAAAAGATAACTCTTATTACTGGCAAGGTCCCTGACTTAAATTCTTTAAGGGAGAGGTTAAGTTTTTCGATTGACTTCAGCTCAAAATAATTCACGAGCCAAAGTGCTGCACCCTGAGAAGTCCTGCACCCCTTCACTGCCTTTTTTCTTCCCTTCCCCTGAGAGTTGGGCAAGTTTCCCCTCCTCCCGCCCCCCTCCCGCAACCGGCCAGCTGCGTCTGTGCTGCGACCCGCACCCTCTCCCTCCTCCGCTGCTGCGGTGCCCTCACCCCGAGCTCTAAGGGCGGAGCATCTAGCTTTGGAAAAGAGGCTGGGTCGGATGGACCCCAAGGGCCACGGGAGCGGCGGCTGAGCTGGGGACTGGCGGCCCGGGGCTCCCAGCGCTGGAGCTGGACCCCCGCCCCGCCGCGAGGTCGCAGAAACGGCGCTGCCCGGGTCCCTGTGCCCAGCCGTTGGAAGCACCTTCAGTTTCTTATCAAATATTAACACGTTTCTCCTGCCACCTCCCACCTCGAAGAATAATTAAGAACTTGGCCTCACCATTAATCTTTAAACGAAAATCACTCTGGCCGGAAAGACCGGCTCAACCGGGGACCTCGGGTCTCCGGGTGCCCCCGGCCAGGCCCCCAGGACGGCGCCGGGGGCTGGCGCGGAGGCGAAGGAAGGCGGCAGCCCCCAGGGACAGGGAACGAGGGTGGGGCCAGGGGAC